CTTTAGTCTACTGAGCTATCTTGCCAGCCACTCACAGCCCTTTTTTCAAACAAGGTCTCACTAAATTGCTCAGGCTGGCCTCAAACTCACAGAATGCTGCAATTACAGGCCCTATGCCTTGTTTCACAGAAGTATCTAGTATGATTTTTTTTTTTTTTTTTTGAGACAGGGTCTCACTATGTAGTTAGGATTGGCTGTGAACTCACAGTACGTAACCCAGGCTGGCTTTGAACTTCTGGTGATTCTCCTGCCTCAGCCTCCCAAGTGCTAGGATTATAGGTGTGTAACAGTATGCCTGACCATGTAAGTCTTTTTAATCTAAACATTTGCAAAGTACAAAGGCCAGCAAGATAGCACAGTGGACTAAGTGCCTGCTTAGGCAAGCACAGGGCCAGGGGTTCAATCCCTAGCACCACATGCTGGAACTGAGACTGGGAATAGTGGTGCATGCCTGTAATCCCAGCGCTGGGGAAGCTTAAAGCCAGAGGATCACTACAAGTCTGAGCTGCAAAATGAGACCCTGTACCAAAAACATTAAAAAAAAAATTACAATCAATACAATACTTTTACAGGCAAAAGTACACTGCAACACTTAAGTAAAAACATACTGGAACTATGGAACTTGAACAGCATGATCTTTATCAAAATACAAAACAAAATTTAAAAATAACCTATATAAGCACTTCAATGTCACATACATTTCATAAAAATAAAGGTATTAGGAGTTTATAATAACTGTGCCTAATGTTGTTTTGATTTTAACCTAAGAAGAATGAAGGCACAGACTGCTTGTGAGGAAATGGAGACATTGGACAGCACCTTCAACCCAGCTACTTGGAATGCTGAGGTAGGGCTGGGGTGGGAGGCCAGTCCGGGCCACCTGGTGAGTTCTTGTTTCAAAGTGAAATGAAAAAGGTAGGGGGTAGCACAGGGTTTTCTAGGCTCAGGCCTCAGTATTGGCATAGAAAGAAAAAGCCCAAAGTGAAAAGAGCTTGCAAACATATGCAAGGCCAGCAGCACAAGCAACTTAACAGGTGAGAAGAGACCTGAGCTACTACATCGAGGGGACAGCAGGGGAGTCACTTGGAGGAGCTTTAACTGTCTCACCAGCACCTCTGAGGGCTGGTGCTTTCTTCAGAACTGAAATACAAATCTGAACAAAAACACACAGAACCTAAGAGAATGGTCACTGCCTCTGGTTCAGAGTGTGACCACAGAGTCCTTACTATCACCTCACTATATGTGGAAACCAGCAACTGGCAGGTTTCCTATTTCTATTAGATCTCTTTCTGTTTTTCTATTTGATGGAGGATCTAATAAGCTGCTGGAGAACTGAGCCCCATAGTGCAGCTGTAATTCTCTCATTTGGGTACCTGCTAACACCACACATACAGATTCAAGCAATGAGGCAGCCATGGAATTACAAGTCTGTTGTTTCCCTGAGTTTGAATCTTTTTTCATATGCAGATGTCTAACACCCTTAACTAAAAGCACACGTGATGGCTGTTAGCACATCTGCAGAGCTATACAACCAAAAGACTCACTTTAGAAGGCCTCTGTCACTCCAGAGTAGCCCTGCCTGTCCTGAGCAACCATCCAATCTGTGCTTCTCCTCAGGCCCTGGCAAGCTCTCGTCCATACTGTGTCTCTTGGTTGATCTACACTGCTTCATGTCAGACAAGTGGAATCCAACATGTTCCTTTCAAACAGGCTTCTCTTACTTGCATGTTTTCCAGATCTGTCATCTTATGGCATGATCATGGCTGAATGATTTTCCACAGCAGGTACTTATTATGTTCTCTATTCATTTGTCAGGGAACATTTAGACTATTTCTGTATTTTTAAAAATTTAATCAATACCCTTTTAATAAACATTTAAATAATTTTTAATTAACTTTGTACAGACATTATTATATATTTAAACAATTTTTATTAGGAATAATTTTTTCCATAATTTTATTGAGAAACAAAGAGCAATGAGAGAGTTTCAAATCAAATTGGTAGGACAGTTTCAATAATTAACACATTGCATACATTCTTCCTAGTGGTTATTTGTTGTACAAGATGCAGACATGATATCCT